CTCTGTCTCCACCCCCCAGCGACGCTGGAGACTTCCCCCCTACCCACCTTAGCAGCAGCTCCGCCCCGAAGGGCGCCTCGTGTCCCGCGATCAGGTCCCAGACCTGCTCGATGTGGGCGCGCTCCTGGGCGTTGAGCATGGTGGTGGAGGCGTGGCGAGCTCTGGGAGCCCCCGGCAGCCGCTCGCGCCTCCTTATAGCAGCACCCGCCCTCCTCCGCCCCGGGGCGCCCCGCCCGCTTTTAGATGCCAGAGCGCGGCGGGAGCTCGGGGACCCTCGGCCTGCACCCGGGAATCGTCGCCAGCCCAGATCCCCACGGCCTCGGGGGTCCCCGGGTTACTGGCACTCACGTCGCTGAGCATGACTCCCCTGCGGGCAAAGTTACTGCTTCGCGCGCCAGGAGGGAGCCTTGGAGGGACCAGGAAAAAGAGCGCGAGGCAGGGAACCCCCTTTTCGCCGGGGGGCCAGGAGGGGAACGGCATCAGGGGTCCCCTCAGCGCGGGAGCTATGACATCAGGCTTTGAAGAAAAGTCCCCTGAGTAGTCCCCGCACGCAACCAACACGCTGAGTGAAGCGACAGTCTTTGGGTGATTTGTAAAGATGGTTGAGGCGCAGACGCACCTAAAGAAAACAGCGTAGGCGCGCTGGGGCTGCTGTGCTCGCTCCAGGCTGCTCTCCTGGGCTCCGCAGGCTCAAGGACCGCCCCAAAGCGCCCGGGGAGTGGCCTTCAGGCAGCGAGTGACGCCACCCTCACTTTGTTTCCTCCTGCCCCCGGTACTGAGGACGCGGGAGCCCAGCTCAATCTGTCATCCGTTTATGGGGTGTCCTGGGAGGAAGAGTGGGAGGGTTCAGAGGTCGAAGAGAGGTCCCAGCCTGGCCCCCGGAGCCCCTCGGCTGCGCTCAGCGGTACTTCTCAGTCAGGACGCTGGACACGACGGACAGGAACTTGTCCCAGGCGGCGTGGGCGTCGGCCGTGAAGTCCGCGGGGAAGTGCGAGGCCAGTGTGACCAGCAGGCAGTGGGACAGGAGCTGGGGGCGGGAGCGGGCTGGGTGCTCTCGGCTGGGGGAACCGAGCCTCTGTCGCCCAGACCCTCCCCCTCGCACGCCGGCCCCGCCTCCGTCCCGCCCCGGCGGACCCCCCGCGCCCACCTTGAAGTTGACCGGGTCCACGCGCAGAACGTAGGCGTGCAGCTCGCTCAGCTTGGCCAGCGCGCCCGCGATGTGGTCAATGCTCTTGACCGCGTCGCCCACGGCGGCCACCACCTTGGAGCCGTGCGCGCGCAGGTGCGCGGAGCCGGGGTGCAGGTCGAAGTGTGGGAAGTAGGTCTTGGTCTGCGGGTGGCTGGCGAAGAGCCTTCGGATGGGGGCGAGGCGTGAGCTCCGGAGGAGGGCAGCTTGTCCACCTCCCCGCTGCTCGGAGCTGGAAGACTCTGAGTTCAACCTTGTCACAGGCCTTGCAAGCTGGGCAGGTCCCACTTCTCTCCCAGCCTGAAATCTCCCACCCAAGCTCCACCCTCCTTAGCTAGGGGCCCACACACCCCTCGCACTACCCAACTTGCCTATTCCAGACCACAGCAACTCCTGGCTTGTCTCCTTGCTTCCAACTGGGTCTGCACAGCCAGCTCTTCAACTCCCACTGCCTTGGCATCCAGTCCCTTTCACCTCCTCTGGCCAGGGGGGCCTCCTTCCACCCCTCACTAGGCTTCCCATTTCACCTTCTGCCAAAAATAATGCTCTCTCCAGCAGCATCCCAGGAAGGCTCTTCAGAGGAACCTCTTTTGACCACGGTTTCCACAGGGTCAGAGACCCCAGTATTAGCGCTGGTAGCAACCTGACTGCCTTAGGAGGCACTTCAGGCCTTGGAAGGAACTCCATGCTCCTCCATGTGCCTGTCCCTGCTCAGGCCTCAGTGAGCCCAGGGTCAGTCAGACGTCTGAATTCATCTTCCCCAACTCACTGACCCCTCCCCAGGGAATCCCTGAACTCCGTGACCCCTCCTCACTGTCCCCTGTCCTCACAGTCCCCTGTCCTCACTCACCCCACATTGTCACCTACCTGGCCCCAGCCTGTCTGGCTCTCACCTCTCCAGGGCCTCAGTGCCCATTGCATCTGCCTGTGTGAAGATCTTGTTCCACATGGACATGCTGACTGTCGTCTCGCCCTTGGTCAGAGACATCATGGTGCCGGAGCTGGAGCTGAGTGAGGCCCTGGACTGGCCTCCATGGAGCTCAGCCCTCAGGGTCCCCTTATATACATGGAGTCTGGCTGGGGGCCAGGCTGTGATCATTTGGTCAGGAGAGGGGAGGGGTCTGAGGGTGGGGTCTCATCAGATTCAGTGACAATGAGCAGTCAGAGCTTTAAGGGACAGGTGGGGTGAGGGGCTATCACTCCAGCCCCTCTCCTTGGGCCACAGCCAGAGCCCAGGGTCCAGGAGATAGGGGCCCAGGCTTGGACTAAGGGTCCATGTGTCAGCTGGCCCAGAGACTGGCCTTTGTAGTAATTGTCCCTTACCTCCCTGTCCTTGTGATGGAAGAAGGCCCTCCCAGAGCATTCTCTGTTCCTTAAGCTTCTGTAGCACCACCTATGAGCACCAGTTTACAAATAAGTAGACTGAGGCCCACAGAGGGAAACAGATCAGGCGTCACAGGGTGTGAGTGATAGTTTTGGCTTCGGACCCTCTCCCACCTCTGCTGTTTAACCCCATCCTCACCTGGGTGAGGTTCTGTCTGTGGCTCTACAGCCAAGTATCCCAGCAACTTGGCTCGGGTGGACTCTCCAAGTTGGGCACCCAGACTGGGAGGAAGCTGGATTCTTCGTGCAAAGCCTGGGGTCACAGGAGCCTACAATTCTATCAGTCACATTCCCACCCCAGCCTGTACAAGAACCCTCCTGCTCTATTTATATCTCCTTCCCCCCTCAGTCTATTCCCTTCCCCCTTTGCCCCCCATAAGGCAGTCACGCTAATGTGCTTAATACATTCCTTTTAGTTAGTACGTGTTCTTGCAAAGGGTGCATTTTCATGCATGTATTTTGAAGTTAAAAAAAGACTAGATTAATTAAAATTGTTTATTACGATAAACATTTCTTCATAGACACATATTTTTTGAAACACAGGATTTTTTTAATAAGAAGGGGGGAAAACTAGACATACAATATGATAGTGTTCTTTAAGTAGAAGAAAGGGCCGTATTGAACGGCACCAAACCGGTAGCAAAAATAGTTCCTAAGTGACTAGGGTTAGGGTTGTCTGCTTTTGTGTATTTTTCACCGGGCTTCCACAGTGAGCACATATTACTAAAACCATTAAGTTCCTGAGGTGGGAGCCGAGCTGTGTGCTGCCCCAGAGCCTGCCCTGTCTTTGTGTCTGAACCAGGAGTTAGGGGCTTCCTGGTATAGGGGGCTTGCAGACCAATCCAGAGCCCAGGCCTGGGTCTGCGGGGGAAGGCGCAGAGCTCCTCCTGTCACATATCCTCCACAGCCACCTCCCAGGCTGCCTCATGGAAAGCACCCAGGGGTGCTCAGAGAAAGAGGCAGAACCTCCATCAACAGCTCTGTCTCCGGACTGAGCCCTAAGATTTGCGGTGTGGACCAGTTTCTCCCCGGACTGGCCAACATTCAGTGTTATGACTTTTATTTGCTTATGATAATATGTGTATTGGCACCTGGTTTTATTTGTTGTTAAGGGTGAGCTTTTCCCCACATGATGATTAGAATCTATTTGTTCATTTCCGCTGGTCAAATGGGCTAAGAGTGTATTTCTGTAATTTGGCTTATTACACACACACACACACACACACACACACACACACACACACACACACAATCTCCGCACACTCAGGCTTTGCTTTCTACATTTTCTTTAACACAAGTTTTGTGCATGTATTTAAAATGTTTTTAGATTTTTATTTAAAAACTAAATGCATTAATTGTAGTAGCAATCCCGGCAAAAGTACAGCTTAAAAAAACAAAATTTTTCTTCTCACCGCCTCACTCCCAGAGGTAACTCTAACCATTTTCTAGGCCTTGTGNTGCTTTCTACATTTTCTTTAACACAAGTTTTGTGCATGTATTTAAAATGTTTTTAGATTTTTATTTAAAAACTAAATGCATTAATTGTAGTAGCAATCCCGGCAAAAGTACAGCTTAAAAAAACAAAATTTTTCTTCTCACCGCCTCACTCCCAGAGGTAACTCTTTAACCATTTTCTAGGCCTTGTCAGTAAATCGCAAGTATACATGTCAAAACCTAAGCCATGCCTGATCACTCGCATGACATTGTATGTTACTCTCCCGCTCAGGAGCCTGGGGCCGCCAGGGTCCTCAGCTCCAGTCCCAGAGGCTCAGGCCAGAGACCACGATCCTCCCGGGCCTTCCTCTCTGCCCCCCGAAAGCTGCGATGGCTGCTCACCTGCAACGAGGGGAAGCCTCCTGCCCGCTCCTGCTTCTTGCCCTCCTCGCTCTGCTTCCCACCCTCTGTCCTCCTGGACCCCACCTGGGGCCTCCCCCCCGAAAGTTCCTTCCCTAATATTGCCACTCCCTCAAATGCCACCACGTAAATAGGCCCACAATGCCCACTCCGTTTCAAATTGCAACCCCCCCAACTGTCCAGTCTCCCACCTGCTCTACTTTTCTTTTTCCACAGGAAAAAAATGATTTTTGGGAGAATGAAGAGAGTAAAAGGGGTCAAATGATGGTGATGGAAGAAGACTTGACTTTGTGTGGTGAGCATACAACAGAGTATACAGATGTCATGTTACAAAGTTGTACACCTGAAACTTACATAATGTTATTGACCAGTGTTACCCCAATACATTTTTAAAAATTAGAACTGAAAAAAAAAAGAAAAAATGTTATTGCTGCTTTTTCCCATTAGAGAGTGAGCTCAGGAAAGCAGAGGGTTTTTATTTCAGGGCTTTTAAAATATATATATCTTTATTAATTTCAGAGAGAGGAAGGGAGAGAGAGAGAGAGAGAGAGAAATATCAATGATGAGAGAGTCATTGATCGGCTGCCTCCTGCACGCCCCCGACGGGAATCGAGCCCGCAACCCGGGCATGTGCCCTGACCTGGAATTGAACCCCGATCTCCTGGATCCTAGGTTGACGCTCAACCGCTGAGCCACACTGGGCCGGGCTGTCTCAGTTTTATTTACTGGTATATTCCAAGCATCCCAAACAGTCAGGACTACCCAGAGCAGGCACCCTCAAAGCACTTGTAGAGTGAGTCAATGGTCCTTATGCCTCAACTTAATGGAGCAGGTTAGGTCCTTGAGTTGATGGTCCTGTCTACCCTGCCACCCGGATACTGAGCTCAGGGCCAGGAGCACCAGGAGTGCAGGGTGGGCACTGCCTGATGGTGGGCAAGGAGCTGACACCCGTCTTCGTGGTGCTCTGACACACTGTCTTCCGATTCACCAGCACAAACAAGCACTGATTCTTTGGAATGCGAAGGGTCCTTGAAGACACCTGGGGCCATGGGGAAACCAAGGCCCGGAGGGGAGGAGAGGCCGGTCATGGTCACAAAGCTCATTGGAGGTGGTGCTAGGGCCTCAGGAGAGAGATTTCTCATACCCAGGCCTCTCCCTGGGTCTCTTCCCCACGCTGAGTCCAAAGGCCCAGCTCCTGGCAGGCAACTCCAGGACAGGCAGGCCCACGGGCCCACACCCCACACCCATAGCCACACTCCTGAACACGAGTCCCTCTGGGTCAGAGTCCTCCCTAGAGAAAGGGGACCCATGTCAGGCACCTTCCCTGGGACAGAGCCTGTCTGCAGAGTCGAGACCCCCAAACCCTAAAGCCAGGCAGGCAGCAGCCGCCTTGGGCAGGCTGCTGAACACCCCTAGAAGCTCCATTCATTCTTCATTCATTACATTTGGCCGCCTGTCCTGTGCCAGTCAGCTCTAACAGCTGGGGACACAGCAAGGGACAAACAGACAGAAACACCTGCTCTGGAGCGGCTGTTCTGGTGGTGGAGGTGTGCAGTACAGAAAGACTGCAGCACATAAGTGCACCGGTGAGAGAGAAGCAGCCCCTGACGCCGGGCTCTCACTGCCAAGCCCGTGTTCTGTTGAACAAAAAAAAAATCAGGACACGGACATGAGACGTGGCCACCTGTGGCTGTGATGCTCGAGACAAAGCAGATCCCTGTGCAAACAGAGACAACGTGGGTTGTCCAAACCACGGAATAGCCGACGCCCCGCCCTGGCTAAGGTGGGCGACACTGCTGCCTTACCCACGGCAAGCCCCAGCCGCCACCCGCGCCTCTCATGGCCGAGAGAAGCATGATCGAGATGCCCGGGCACAGGGTTGCTCCCACCTCTGGGCAGCACCCAACCAGAGCAAAGCCCTGCTCCTTGGAGCCCACTCTCCTAACACCTGGCTTAACCCTCTGACTCAGGCTCCCACGGTTCCCCATGGGGGGTTGTCTCCTTGGTGGCAGCGAGTTAGCGAGGAGAGTTCCAGGTGGCCTCTGCCTGGACGGCGCTGACGCCAGAGAGGACCGGCAGGAAGGAGCGACGGCTATTGCTGAGACGGGTGCAGCTTTAGCTAAGGTGGCCGGGGACCATGGCACCGAGATGGTAAGTCTGAGCCAATGTTTGAAGGAGTTGGAAGGATAAGCCGTGAGGCGACTGGGGGAGAGTGTGAGTAGCAAGTACAGAGGGACTGAGCCAGTGCAAAGGCCCTGAGGGGGGCAGAGGCCTCGGCAGAGAGAGAGGGTGAGACGGGTAGCACTGAGGTCAGACCTTATAGTTGAAGCGTAACATGGCGATCCCCTCTACTTCCAGCACCTGCATACAGTAATTGTTAACCTTGGCTTGTCAGCATGTATAGGGATCTGAGTGTTTATTTTCCTTCCCAACAAGATGGAAGTGTGTGGTGGGCATCGTGAAGTTCTGTCTCTACAGAAACAACCACAAGTCTGTTGTAAACCTAAGTGAACTAACAACATTCCTTGGCATCAAATTTCCACATTCATCCCCCAAGCCTGTTCAAGTTGGGATGTGACACAGGTTCACACGTAGTATTTAGGTGCCTCTTTATTCTCTTATCCCAGAAGCTCTTCACTCCTCACCCACCTTGTCCTCATTTCAGTGACCTTTTGGAGTCCAGGCCAGCTGTCCTGTAGAGCGGTCCACATTTTGGATTGGTCTGGTGGTTTCCCTGAAGTGTTATTTAGCTGGTTCCCTTATCCATGCATTTCCTGTACGC